TTTTTTGTACTCCAGTCTGGTGTTTACCTAACAGCTTGTAACCAGGTATTGATCTCTTTGCCCATTGGAAATCACTATCTCTCTACTGCTGAGTACACATTTTCCTTCTCCCAGTGTCCTTATGTAGATTTTCTTCACTTGGGTCTATTGTGTGTCCTTTCTTTGAATGACTTCTCAGGACACTTGCTCATTTTCTCCCCACTCGTTAGATCTTTAGTGTTTCCATATTCCTTCCCACTTTCCGACTTCTACCTCTCCTTAGGTGACCCCGTTTCTATTTTACGCTTCTTCCAACAACACTTTTCTCATGGCACCTCTTCCCCAGTTTTCTTGTGATACTTCTTCTTGACCTGCTCGTACCTCCCTACATGATGAAGCCGTTTTGGAGACATACAAGGGAGGCTTTCAGAAGTTGGTGGGAAAATCCCATTGTCTCTTAATGTCATTTTTTTCATGAACTTTTTGAAGCCCCCTTCATAAATTTTACCAACTTTCTTTTTTCCTGTCCTCTATTCCTTTCTCCTAGTATAAAGAATAGAAAGTAACAATGATTTGATATTTTATTACGTATTTTTTTCAGGTGGTCAAACCAGGAATGAGAACAGGGAATTAGCTTCAAAGCAGGTAATATCTTCTGGAATCCAACAACATGGAGAAACAGCTGCCAAATGCAACGGGGATGTTAGCAGGGGTCTTGAACATGGAGAAGCCAGAGACCTCCTGGGCAAATTAGAAAGACAGCGGGGAAATCCCACACAAGAAAGACGACATAAATGTGATGAATGTGGGAAAAGCTTTGCTCAGAGCTCAGGCCTTGTTCGACACTGGAGAATCCACACTGGGGAGAAGCCCTACCAGTGTAATGTGTGTGGGAAAGCCTTCAGTTACAGGTCAGCCCTTCTTTCCCATCAGGATATCCACAACAAAGTAAAACGCTATCACTGTAAAGAGTGTGGCAAAGCCTTCAGCCAGAACACAGGCTTGATCCTGCACCAGAGAATCCATACCGGGGAGAAGCCATATCAGTGCAATCAGTGTGGGAAGGCCTTCAGCCAGAGTGCAGGCCTTATCCTGCACCAGAGAATCCACAGTGGCGAGAGACCTTATGAATGTAATGAGTGTGGGAAAGCTTTCAGTCATAGCTCTCACCTCATTGGACATCAGAGAATCCACACTGGGGAGAAACCCTATGAGTGTGATGAGTGTGGGAAAACCTTCAGACGGAGCTCACATCTCATTGGCCATCAGAGAAGCCATACTGGTGAGAAACCCTACAAATGCAATGAATGTGGGAGGGCCTTCAGTCAGAAGTCGGGCCTTATTGAACATCAGAGAATCCACACTGGAGAAAGACCCTATAAATGTAAAGAATGTGGGAAAGCATTCAATGGGAACACTGGCCTCATTCAGCATCTGAGAATTCACACTGGAGAGAAACCCTATCAATGTAATGAGTGTGGGAAGGCCTTTATTCAAAGGTCGAGTCTCATCCGACATCAGAGAATCCACAGTGGAGAAAAAAATATGAATCTATAGGAGTTTAGCAAAACCTTAAGTTCTCAGTTTGAATATTATACAGCACTAAAAACGCCACATGCTGGTGAGCCGTGTTGGTGGTAGAAAGTTTGTCCCATAATTACTTAATCTAGTGTCAGAATTTATACTGGTGGCAAAGTTAGAGTAGCTCTTCAGTAGTTTGGGCCCAGTGCCTTGATTGGATTAACTACATTGAGAGGTGTCTGAAGGAGTGAAGCGCCGGTTGGCCTGGTAAATCCTTTACAAACTTCAAATAGCATTAGCTGCTTGACGTGGCTCAAGACACTTGCCTTTGTCTTTTGGAAGAGGCTACTCTTCCTGGTTTCTGCTTCTTTCCATCCTTTGTGATCTCAGATTTATTCCCCAGGAGGTGCCCTTGGGCCCCTCAAAAGATCCTGCTCTAGAGTTCTAAGCAGCCTTACTGTGAGGCTTATATTTAGCTTTCTAAGATCTTAGTAGTAGGGAAATTTTTGCAGACATTTAGGCTTAAGGGTGCATTTTACTTTAGCCCACTGTTCTTTGTAGTCAGTGGAATTCCATAATCCCATGCAAACTCAGAATGCTATATTTTTAACAGCACTCCAGTATTTTCATATACCACCTTTACTGACTCCACAGAGTCACTGAACATCATATCACCAACCCTAGTCCCAGTCCTAATCCCTGTGTCAGCAAAGGAAATGGATGCCTTAGTGATGGTTATGGGACTGATGCAGAGAATGAGGTGAGTGGAGACTTGGCCCAGTGCCTCTTGAGCTTGGAGACTTACATCTCTCGGTGACTGGGACTTTCCTTTTCATCTCTCCACTGTAAGCTCTGGTACAAATAGATACCTTGCACTAACCTATTTATGGCTTCACATGAGGGAAAGAGGAGACGGCAATGCTTAAAGAAGACATTAAAGTCCATGCAAAGAATGTCCCATTGCAATACTGCTCGCTTAAGTTCCTATCAGCCTGAGCAAGCCACCTGACTGGATTTTCTTTTACTTTTCAGGAAGTATACCCTGGCCACACTTCCATACATGGTCTCAGCACCTCATTTTATCATTCTCTGGTCTGTTTCTTGCTATTACCTTTATAACTTTATTATCCACAAAGATAATTCTGGTGGGCAACCTGCATCGGTAATCTATATCTGTAATTTACCAGCATGAATCTCATCATCACCAGGCACTGTATTTCATCTTTTGAGACTTTCAGTATACCAAAGAATACGATATAAACAAATGGACCTAGTTTTAAGTAACATGCCAGAATTGTGTGTCCAGAATTGGGAAGTTATAGGACTACATATATGGAATACTGCCAGAATTCCATGTTTCATAAACTGCAAGAGAAGCTTTTCTATAATCAAGTCATATCTCAGTTTTGGCCACTTCATTACCCGCTTATTTTCCAGACTTAGAATTAAGTAGCTTTTGGCTCATTTCAAAATCATTTCAAAAAGTGGAAATTGGAATGGACCCCACTAAACATCTAAAGAATCTGACATAGGTTCTGAAGAAAGTTCCAAGAGAAGTAACCCAGTTCACACTGTGACTATAAGGGACATTAAAATGTTTATTGAAAATGTTATTTCATGATTGATGATTTAAAAAATTAGTCGCAAGATTTTACAAATCCAAAAGCCCACTTCCGTTGAGTCCATTCCAACTCATACTGACATTGTGTAGGGTTTCTAAGGCTGGGAATCTCTATGGGTCTGGACAGCCCCATCCTCCTTCAGACCTGGCACGTGGTGGTTAATGCAGCATCAGGACTCCTGATTTTACATCAGACCTCCACAATTTGGATCGTAAGTTCTGGTCCTTTAACATTCCCTTTCACCTCCATCTTGACCATTAAGATGAACTTCAAGATTATCTAGATGTATTTGATTAATCCTTATAATCTTGGCTAGCTTTGCTAAAATAATTTCTTTCAATTGTCTTGTGTTTCCTTAGCCCTTGCTCTTTTTAAAAAATCATTTTATTAGGGGCTCATACAACTCATCACAATCATACATCAATTGTGTAAAGCACATTTGTACATTCATTGCCCTCATCCTCAAAACATTTGCTCTCCACTTAAGCCCCTGGCATCACCTCCTCATTTCCCCCCTTCCTCCCCGCTCTCCACTCCCTCATGAACCCTTGATAATTTATGTTATTTTGTCATACTTCGCACTGTCCAATGTCACCCTTCACCCACTTTTCTGTTCCCCAGGGAGGAGGTTATATGCGGGTCCTTGTAATTGGTTCCTCCTTTCTACCCCACCCTCTCTCCACCCTCCTGGTATCACCACTCTCACCACTGGTCCCGAAGGGATCATCTGCCCTGGATTCCCTGTGTTTCCAGTTCCTATCTGTAACTTGCTTGTTTTTTTTAACTTATTAGTTATTCCTAATTCTCTTGTACTTGAATTTCAAGAAATCCGAAACAAGTAACTCTAGTTGTCTATCATTGTGGTCCTGTTTCAGTTGTGCCTTACCCTCTGTGGGCTAGTCGTACCTTGTGTGCAGATAATATATAGGATGGGTACGTTGTCAGAGAAAATACATGTGTACATATACATGTAAATATACACATGTATACACACTATAGAGTGTTATCTTTGATTGCAAGGAAAATTCTGTTAGCAGAGCAACATTAAAATGGCTTTAGATGTACCCGCTAATTCAACTAATGTCTCTTTTGGGGTCAGAAACATGTAGCCTAATTACTTAATCTCAAAGTTACCAAGCATCCAGCAGAAATTCATGGAGGGGTGGGTGGGGTCAAGAATAGAATAGGACCAGAAGGACTATTGTTATCCTGAGGTGAATGTGAGAGAAGACTTTCCAGGAACTATTAAGGCTTAGTCAGCACATCTATAGAAATGGGCAAGTGGTACTCTACAGCCATATGTGTTAGTCTAGGTAACCTAGAGAAACAAATCCACAGAAACTCATATATGTGTAAGAGAAGAGTTTTATATGTAAGGTAAGTGTACTTTCAGAAACATCCCAACCCAACCCAATCCAGTCCAAGCCCATAAGTCCAACATTAGCCCATATGTCTGACACCAGTCTACAAAGTCCTCAATCTCCCAGAACACGCAATGACACCGACTGCAGGAGGAAAGCCAAATCAGTGACCATGTAAGCATCTCAGTGCTGCCAGGGGTATCCACATGGCTGCTCCAGCACCCAGGATTGCATCACGGTAGATACATGTGGGTTGTCCTCAGGCATGTCTTGTAGGAAGTGAGCCTTGCTAGCTGAAGCAGGGAACTGGCCAAGGCAGCCGCACACTGGTCCGACTGTAAGAAAGTAAGACACTGGAGAACTAGAAGAGTGAGGCTCACAGCCATTTCTCCACCCTTCAATTAATCCCACATGAGTATATCAGCCAGGTTGGCACAATAAGGGCTGATTTCTTTAAAGACATAAAGTAGATGTCTATTCATAGTCCTTAGTTCTCACTCTTAGCCCTAAAATAGCATTGATGAAACCTTATTTTGAGCTCCTAACTATAAATGCTCAAATTTAATTTTACTTAAATTTACAAGCACTATGCTCCTTTATCCTGCAGGATTTCCCCCAAAGTGCTTTCTTCTCTCATCAGCTTATATTAAGACCTGATAGGATAAAGTGGTGGTTCCATAACTCAGTTGCCATCTGAATTAGTCCTCGGACAGGTGTCATGTTTCAGAGGTTGCTTTTTTTTAGTCAGTGAAGCAAGGTGGCAGTGCTAGCATGTGGTAAATTCCCATATGTGTTAGGCAATGTTCTTTATAGAAACAAAACCAGGACACTTAGGTATGTGTGTGTGTATGGATAAGTTTATATAGCGATAAGGAATATAACAAGCTCACACAGCAATACAGAGGGCTCAGATGAACTGGAATAGTTAATATACTGAAGGTCCTTCAACTCACTCTGCCTGCTGGTTCGAGGTCAAGAAAGCAGACGACCAAGTTTGCTCTTAGGCAAGACAAATAGGGGCAGCAACAGCAGGAAACTGAGGTTGAGGTGGGAAGCCAGTTGTGAAGGAGTGTAGTGAAGCCTCAAGAAGCATGGGAAAGCAGGTTTCGGAGCTGCAAGAAGTATACACACGCAAGGTGGCATGATCCACACAGCACGTGGTTGGGGCAAAGGACATTCTCAGGGAGCAGAGTGCTGGATCCGATCACCAGAGAGAACGAAAAGGGCCTTGGAAAGCCATTTATCTTGTGGCCTCCAAGCTATGACCCAATTAAACTCTGCCCACATGTTCCTGTGGAAGCCTAGTTGGCACAATAAACAACTATGACACCATACAAAACAGCTCCAGATAATGGCTGACATTTATGAAACATTTATTGTATGCCAAGCCCTATGTTAAACATTTCTTGTTCTTATCATAAATCTCTCTATAGATGAAGAAACAGGCTTAGAGGGTTGAGTTGATCATGCAGCTGGTAAATGATAGAACTGGGATTCTAACCTATAGGGTCAGATTCTAGAGCCTGAACTCTTGGCCACTGTCTCTAATGACCACTCTAACCCTAGATGGCTGGTTTAAAAATATGTCCCTGGTCATGAGCTTACTAGGGAAGAAAATGTACAATACAGTGCAAATCCATTTGAATTATTGGAAAATGCATATTGGGGTATAATATCTTTCAAATATAGATAGGTTTTGTTTTGGTACTGCTTAAAAACCAAAAAGCTCTGGCCATCAAGTGGATTCTAACCTATAGTAACCCTATAGGACAGTGTAAAACTCTTCCTGAGGGTTTCTGAGGCTATGAATCTCTACAGAAGCACACTGCCTCATCTTTCTCCCAGGGAGCATCTGGTGGGTTCAAATCCCTGACCTTTTGGTTAGCAGCTCATTGACAGATCCGCCTGGAGCACCTTTTGAAAGTACTAGAAAGCTAAATTGTATAAAACAAGTTTAAAGGAGTGATTGGGAGGGTAAAGCAATAACTTGTAGATTTAAATGTAATTTTCTCTAAACTGGCCAAGAGAAGGTCACATTGTAGGTAGAAATGAAATGTCGATGTACAAGGGCTGCAGAAGAACAGTTAGAATGATAAATACTAAGTTCATCTATAGCAGAGGTGAGGAACCTTCTGCCAAGGGCTATTGGATATTTATAACATCATTTGTAGGCCATATTAGACGTTTAATTAACTTACCCCTAATGTAATGGCTGGAAATGCTTCTCTTTGGTGAGGCATGTGAAGTTAGCTGGTATTGATTTTTTTTTTCCTTTCAATATCTCCATATTTTATTTTTTTAAATCAATTTATTGGGGCTCATAAATTTCATCACAGTACATAGATCAATTGTGTAAAGCACATCTATACATTTGTTGCCCTCATCATTAGTCCCCTATGCAGCCCTGTGTTAGGCCAGATTGACTAGAGAAACAAATCCAGTGACACTATAAGAAAGAGTCTTATATCAAGAAGTAATTATATATGGAGAAAACAGCCCAGCCCAGTCCAACTCAAGTACTTAAGTCTGGTACTAGTCCACAAATCCCTCTAAAGACACACAGCCACGTGTAATGATGCAGAATGCAGGAAGGGCCCATGCTGGTGGGTGCAAAGTCATGTGGCTCCAATGGTGGTGGATGCATCCCCAGGCTCTGGCAGCAACCAGGGCCAGCCAGCAGGAAGGTGAAGGCAGAGAGGGGAGGTTCCCAGGACCCTCCTAATGAGATGGGCATGCCCACAAAGGCACCATCAGATATAATCTGATTGACAGGCTGAACTCCACCCGTACACTTTTATGAAGAACCTTAAGCCTCATTGCCCATTTCTAACTACCATTCTATTTCTCCACTAACTGCTTTTTTCCACCTCTTCCTCATTAATCTGTTCTTAAAGCTTTTCCTTTAGGAGATTTATAAGCAACACTCCACAGAAATGTCTAGAATTTCCTTTTCCTCGTTAGCTTTCTTGAGCTCTAAATGTGTTATACTATTCAATATCCCTTACATTTCAGGAATTTTCTTTTGAGTTAGAGAATCCTATTAGGGCCCCTCCTCTTTTTTTCTCTTCCAATTTGTGGCATTCCCTTATTGAATTTTTTCTCCTCTTCCCAACTGGGAATAATTGTCATGTCTTGATTTTATTCACTACTTTTCCTATACTCCTATTTACATATTGATTAGTTACACTTACCTTCTGTATTTGAGTAACTTCATGTTCCCCACCTTGTTGATCATCATGAGACCTGTAGAACCTTCCATGGGTAGCTACACAGCTTGGCATTTGAAAAATGCACTCCTCTCCTCCAAACTCCACTTTCCTTTTACGTGTGCATTATTGCTTCACTTCTTCACCCTGAACAGAATGTACTATTCCAATCTTAGAATTGTCTTTTAATCTTTTTGTGCCTTCGGTTCTACATGTCCGGGACTCTTGCTAAGGCAATCCAACTTTAAGCATTCTCCACGAGGCTGGATGGTGTTTTACACTTGTTCCCTTCCCGCAGTGCCCTCCCGACAGATCTGCAGTAGCTGCGGTTTGGGTTACTGTGATTCTGCCTTTCCATTTTCCGGCATGATCCTCAAACTCCATTTTCATCATCTTATTCTCTCTCAAGAATGCCTACCAGGTA